AAAATAAAAAAAAAAAAAAAAAAAAAAAAAAAAAAAAAAAAAAAAAAAAAAAAAAAAAAAAAAAAAAAAAAAAAAAAAAAAAAAAAAAAAAAAAAAAAAAAAAAAAAAAAAAAAAAAAAAAAAAAAAAAAAAAAAAAAAAAAAAAAAAAAAAAAAAAAAAAAAAATAAAAAAAAAAAAAAAAAAAAAAAAAAAAAAAAAATAAAAAAAAAAAAAATTTAAAAAAAAAAATTTTAAAAAAATAAAAAAAAAAAAAAAAAAAAAAAAAAAAAAAAAAAAAAAAAAAAAAAAAAAAAAAAAAAAAAAAAAAAAAAAAAAAAAAAAAAAAAAAAAAAAAAAAAAAAAAAAAAAAAAAAAAAAAAAAAAAAAAAAAAAAAAAAAAAAAAAAAAAAAAAAAAAAAAAAAAAAAAAAAAAAAAAAAAAAAAAAAAAAAAAAAAAAAAAAAAAAAAAAAAAAAAAAAAAAAATTAAAAAAAAAAAAAAAAAAAAAAAAAAAAAAAAAAAAAAAAAAAAAAAAAAAAAAAAAAAAAAAAAAAAAAAAAAAAAAAAAAAAAAAAAAAATAAATATAAAAAAAAAAATAAAAAAAAAAAAAAAAAAAAAAAAAAAAAAAAAAAATTTTTAAATTAAAAAAAAAAAAAAAAAAAAAAAAAAAAAAAAAAAAAAAAAAATAAAAAAAAAAAAAAAAAAAAAAAAAAAAAAAAAAAAAAAAAAAAAAAAAAAAAAAAAAAAAAAAAAAAAAAAAAAAAAAAAAAAAAAAAAAAAAAAAAAAAAAAAAAAAAAAAAAAAAAAAAAAAAAAAAAAAAAAAATTTAAAAAAAAAAAAAAAAAAAAAAAAAAAAAAAAAAAAAAAAAAAAAAAAAAAAAAAAAAAAAAAAAAAAAAAAAAAAAAAAAAAAAAAAAAAAAAAAAAAAAAAAAAAAAAAAAAAAAAAAAAAAAAAAAAAAAAAAAAAAAAAAAAAAAAAAAAAAAAAAAAAAAAAAAAAAAAAAAAAAAATAGTTGGGCCAATTAAAAATGTATTAAGCTAAAAGCTAGGAGCCCATAATCTGTAAGTGAATTTGGTAATAAATAACCTGAATACATTAGCTCATCCCATTGAGAAGTTCAAACTCCAGACTAATTGTTTTAGTGCGTAGTTGTGAAGTGAAAGTTTTATATGGTCTTTCTTCGGTTAATAGTGTAATTAAACTTTTCCAAAAACTCAACTTGTTATACCAACCTATGAATAGCTGGTTTTGTTCCTTAATCTAATCACTATTTTGGTAACTGCATTTGTGGTTAGTAGCAAACTGGTTTAAGCTCCAACTTTCAAAGCGACCTTCATACCGTCAAAGTTAGTCACTCTAATCCGGAAAAGCAATGCAATAAGTTGGACATGGTCTATCACCTGTGCACATGCGATAGCGAATGCATTACTAACTTGATTTTCTTGGCAGTGCACAATGATTGACGCGGCTTCCGCCGAGCGGGGAAGCCCCAAGTTTATTGCCCTCTTCAACGACAATCTGAAACTGGGCCACGAGGACGACAACCCACAGCCGGTCAACGGAAAGGATACCCAAACCCCCAATCACATACCCTCCGACCTGCAGACGGCCTATGGAACGCTGTTCGCCGCCTGCCAGGATCACGCCGCCTTCTTCGCCAGGGACCACACCGAATTCGGCCAGCGGCTGCATGCCGCCCACATTGCCTGGCAGGACTTCATCGTCCTGGCCAACCGGCTGGTCCAGCAGATCGAGGCCTTCGCCCACGAGTACGACTTCGACGAGCAGACGCCGGGCAATGGCTACCGGAGCTTCATCTACGTGACCAATGCCTGCATAACGCATGGCATTGGAATCTGCCAGCAGCTGACGGCCACCCGCTCCACCATGTTCTTCCGCAAGAAGTTCTACATGAAGGAGGTGGAGGCCTGCTCCCAGCTGCTCTCCTCGCTCTGCACCTGCCTGCAGTACCTGCTCATCCTGCGCCAGTGGTCGGCCAGCACGGGCGATCTGTTCGCCTGCGGAAACCACACGGCCGAGCAGCTCTTCGAGCTGGGCGACACCATCAACCAGTATTGCTTTTACGGACGCTGCCTGGGCTTCCAGTATGGCGACTCGATACGCGGCGTTCTCCGCTTTCTGGGCATCAGCATGGCCAGCTACTCGGAGTCGTACTACTCCCAGGAGGGCGACGGCACCATTGTCAAGACCACCCGCAGCCTGTGGACCAGCGGCAAGTACCTAATGAATCCGGAGCTTCGGGCCCGCCGCATCGTCAACATCTCGCAGAATGCCAAGATCGACTTTTGCAAATCGTTCTGGTTCCTGGCCGAATCCGAGATGATGCACAAGCTGCCCAGCATTGTGGGCAGCTCAATCAAGGTGAACCGCCTGATCGAATTGCCTGCCGAACCGCTGAAGCTGCCGCGACGAAAGGACTTCAAGGCACAAGAAACGTCTACCAGCGACGTTAATCAAAACGAAGGGGATGACGACTTTGTGGAGATTCCCGTGCCCACGGCTCACCTGGGACCTGGTCTACCCGTCTCTGTGCGCCTGTTAAGCGCCAAGAGGCGTTCGGGAATGCTCGGCGAGGGTCGCTATAGGGGTTGGAACAAGCCCACTCCGCCGAGTCCCTCGATTCTGTTTCACTGCCATGGCGGTGGCTTCGTGGCCCAGTCCTCCAAGTCCCACGAGCTGTATTTGCGCGACTGGGCCGTCGCCCTGGACTGCCCCATTCTCTCGGTGGACTACAGTTTGGCGCCAGAGGCTCCCTTTCCACGCGCCCTTCAGGAAGTTTACTATGCCTACTGCTGGCTTTTGAACAACACCGAACTGTTGGGGACAACGGCCGAGCGGATTGTGTGCGCTGGCGACTCGGCGGGTGCGAATCTGTCCATTGGAGTGGCTCTCAAGTGCATCGAGCAGGGAGTTCGGGTGCCGGACGGTCTGTTTCTGGCCTACTGCCCCACTCTCGTCAGCTTCGTGCCCAGTCCGGCGCGACTGCTCTGCCTAATGGATCCGCTGCTGCCATTCGGCTTCATGATGCGTTGCCTTCGCGCCTATGCAGCTCCTGCCCAGGAGACGCTGCAGGAGAATGCCAGGCATGTGGAGGACGCTGCCCAGATACGCAATGCCCCGCAAGGCAGCTTGAACTCCAGTCGTCGCACCTCGATGGCCAGAAGTCCGCTCACGCCGCTGGAAGCGAACACCGAGCAGGATGACGAGAGCAGCGACACTTTCGCCAGTGCCTCGGCCTCTTACCACAGCCAAACAGTAGAGCGAACCGATCTGCCCAACAGCGAGGGCGACAACAGCTCGTGTGTCTCATTCGAGGACGACTCGCAGCCCATTGTCCACTACCCGATTGAAGTATCAGCCGACCCACCGAAGGACGCCGCTTCTGCAGCGTATATTGACAACTTTCTGGACAAGTATCTCATTGACACCGCCACCATGGAGGTTACCGAGGAGACTGCGGCCGAGGCAGCCCAAGAGCAGGCGAATGGGCATGCCAAGGTGAGCTCGGATGATGATATTCTGGTGGAGACTGGTCGGGATCTCGTTGCCATGGATACGCTGCAGGGTCGGCTGCAGGAAGCCGTTAACAACATAACCCACACCTTGACCCGCTGCACGCAATCCTATGAGATTCATGGCAGCAATGCGATGGGTCAACAGGACGTGCGGAACATGGACGCGCTGATAGCACGGAGTCCCAGCGAGGAGTTTGCATTCGATGTGCCTAAGGATCCATTCTTGTCGCCCTACTGGGCCAGCGATGAATGGCTTTCCCAACTGCCGGAGACCAAAATTCTTGTAAGTTGATTGGGTAACTAGAAGAAATAATCAATTAATGGCAAATTCTCCTCTATAGACCCTTAATATGGATCCCTGTCTGGATGACTGCGTTATGTTTGCCAAGAAACTGAAGCGGCTAGGTCGCCAAGTCGACTTGGAAATACTGGAGGGGCTCCCGCACGGATTTCTCAATTTCACCATGGTAAAAAACGCCTCGACCAGAAGAATTCAATAAACTAATATCGCCTTTTTTAATTCAGCTCTCCAACGAAGCCATGGAGGGATCCAAGAAGTGCATAAGATCTCTACAGACGTTGCTTCAAGTAAATCCGAAGCTCAAGACAAATGACAAAGGCAGCTCGCTGGACGACGAGGAGTCCTCCAGTCCCAGTGCAAGTCTGGCGGCTTCATAGGATGAATTTCAATCGGTCTATATGCCTATTGGACTGGAGAACCCACCAACCGACGAAGAACATTAAAAGCCGATGGTTAAGTGTAAGTGACAATGGGGTTTCACCATCACTGTAAAATATTGTCACCTGCATTTGGCCCCATTGGATTTCTCCTCTCACATGGGCGTGTAAATCGAATTTTGTTATGCGCAGGAACAAATTGAATTGTTCATTGTTAAACGCACTTTTCTTGCTTTTTTACGTAATCTCAAACGTTTTTTATACACTTTTATATGACACAGCTTTCTATGTTTTATATACTCACAAAATATGTATAGGATATATCGCTTTTAGCATAAGCAAGCCAAGTATGGAAGTATTGGAAGCGTGTAAACACGCACTATTTATTATGTATACTTACGATTAATGCTCTTGATTCCAGGCACACACTCGCTAAGAGCTGTTTAATGCAAAACTCCCGAATATGTGCCTGATACGAAACGAGTACTTATATACATGTGTAGAGAATATTGTTCGCTCTTTACCCCTTTTTCACACACCCCCCAATAGTCTGTCCGGTTTTTTTGGAGCTATGGAGGCTAACAAAGTTCAACTTTAACCGTGTATGTTGGAGATATGCCTAGTTTTCTTTGCCTATCCCCACGCGAAACCGTCTGAAGGTATATCTTTGGTACACCAGGTGTTCGATATACCATTACACTTTATATATGTTTGCAATCTCTCTCCTTAAACTATACCCAGTGTTATACATAAAACGCGAATAAATGGTTATTACCCCTAAAAGTGAATTGTTTAAATGGATCAGTTAACATTACACAATATAGGTTTTATTGATCAAAAAATGCGGATTTAGCTTAAAACTTAGGAATGAGTTGTACGTAGGAGGATGAGAAGTTACGAATGGGCATACAAATATGAGGACTCTTATGTCTCGTTGTCCTCGATCTTGGGCGCCAGGTAGTAGCGGATGTGGCCCAGATCCTTGATCGCATACTCCACCACCAGCGGCACATCGGCGCACATCGACAGCTGCACCTGGGTGGACAACGGCGTCGCCTTGGTGAAGGCGTTCAGGTAGCGACAGGCGAACGTCAGCGTCACCGGCTCCTGCATCTCGATGATCACAGCCTCCTCCTCCTTGTCCACGGAGCCGGTTTGGGCCAGCTTAATGTTGGCCGTGCCTACATCGCCGCTGGCCGAGAACTTGACGCCCTCCTTGGTGCAGCAGATGACGACGGACTCACTGAACTGGGCCAGATCGCGGCAGATGCGGGCAAACTCCATGGCCGGCATGCGGACGACGCAGGAGAAGTCCGTCTCCGGGATGCCCAGGTGCTCCTGGTCGAGGTTCATCAGCTTCATCTCGTAGTCGGAGACCTTCTCCTGGTTGGCCGACTCGAACATGATGGTGACGGTGTCGGCGTTGTCCTGCGCCTTCATTGTCACGTTGTCTTCGTTGTTGGCGCACTTGAGGATCTTGGCCATGCTGCCCAGGTTCATGCCCATCGAGAGATTGCGGTCGCAGCGGAACTTGTCGAAGCCATCGGATCGCAGGGTCAGCGAGACGAGCGACACATGCGAGTTGTCCATGGCCTGCAGCTGTGGGGTTATAAAGGGGGTAAGATTTTCCTATTCCTTAGGATTATCTATTAGCATTTCTTACCTGAATGCCGGAGTCGCTGCAATCGAAGGTGGCCTCATTGAGCAGATCCTTGATGGCGTCCAAGATCTTCTTGAGGATGGTGGCTTGTCCCAATCGTGCCTCGAACATGTTGAGTGTGTTTTATTGTTTAAATACTGGTGATGGGCTTGAAAAATTGGCCGATAATTATGTTGCCGCGGCAGAGACTTTAAGATGAATGACGAACGTGTGCAATTTTTTACCTATGGATCGGATCAGGCGGGCAAAATGAGCGGGATAGGGATGGAAAAAGCCACAGGCGATATCGATTGCAAATGAGCGGTTGCTATCGATAGCAGCCAGCGGCCGGACTGCCAATCTGATTAAATAACATAACAGAAATGGTCACCCTTAGGACAGAAATATATTTTTTAACTAGACAAATTACAGAATTTTTAGAATAATCAAGTTACACATTTTTAACGAAGACTATTAGTTATAAAAGTACGAGGCGATGACATTTGTTTTTTGTTCAGACGCTTTGCTTGTCTCATCATTTTTCGCAGTTCTTCTACTCCCAAACCTGTAATAAGTTTTTATTGTTAACTGTTAAATGAAAAATAACCCTTTTTATGTAGTTACCATGCACAGTATGAATTTCCTGCACTCCCATGGGGTCCAATTGAGTGAAAAATGCCTCCAGGGCGGAATGTTTTTGCATTGTGGCCACGCAGAGAGCGGGGATCATTGAGGATAGGTTAAAGTCCTTATAAGTCCTCCATCGCAACAGCTCCTTAACCAAGGGCAAGTGGCCTGCATAGCTCGCCAGGGTAAGAGCATTTTGGCCAAAATAGTTAATGGCGAAGATGTTGCCACCGAACTCCAGAAGTGTACGAGCGCACTCAAATCTCCCCAAATAACAGGCCTTCAAGAGGGCGGTGTTTCCGTAGCTGTCCACCTCCTCGAGGTTGTACTGTCTGCCGTCGCGAGCCATTGTGCAGACGATTCGCAGAGAAACGATGTCATCCTGTCCCACGCAGCCAAGGGCTTCAATAAAAATGATTAGCTTCTGTGTTTATTGTTAATTTAATTTACCATTTATTTCTCCCATTCTGCAAGTCTTTTCATATAACGGCGCTTTGCTGAAACCAATGAGATACTATCATACTATCGGTAAAAACCAAGAAGCTTTTTTCAATGAGGGTACTCTCTTATAAATTAAAGTTAATTTACAGATCCAACGGTTTATTTATATCTTAGGAATTCCTATTAATAAAAACTTTCCATATATACCCTTGCAGTTATAATAAATACCCAAAGTTTAGTCCTTAATCAAACGGTGCTGTCCCTGGGATTCCAAGGATATTATTGCCTATTAAAAATGTTGATATTAAATTGTCAAACATTAAAAAACATTAGTTTTGAACTTCGCCGCTTGCAACAAAAACTAGTGATGAAACAGAATGCGCCTAACAGCACAGAATGGCCATTAACAGCACGCTAACGGAACGTGGCAGCCATTTTTAGGCCCTTTTGCTCGCCTGAGGCAGCCACTCTAATTCGGCCTTCTTTTCTTTTCCCGTTTCCGGTAAGTAGTGTGCGCGTTTAATTTCTGGCCAATTTTTAACCAAAATATCTCTTAATTTATTGCAGTGAGGAGTAAATACGAGAATACAAACGGCAAAATGGTGAGTGGTTCGAAAGAAAGTGGAATTTTCGGCATCGAACAACAAGGGTGGCGAATATATATATAAGTGTTTGGTGCCTTGTGTTGCAAAAATGCGAAAATGGCGTGGCTTAACATACAAACTGTTTTATTGACGTTTCTCCCCTTGTCTTGCAGTCGCTCGTCATCCCAGAGAAGTTCCAGCACATCCTGCGTATCATGAATACGAACATCGATGGCAAGCGCAAGGTTGGCATCGCCATGACCGCCATCAAGGGAGTGGGTCGTCGCTACTCCAACATTGTGCTGAAGAAGGCCGATGTCGATCTTACCAAGCGCGCCGGTGAATGCACCGAGGAGGAGGTAAGCTGGAGGAGAAGCTACTCCGGATAGCACCCCCACTAATCCCGCTCTCCGTCCATCTCGACAGGTCGACAAGGTGGTGACCATCATCTCCAACCCCCTGCAGTACAAGGTGCCCAACTGGTTCCTCAACAGGCAGAAGGACATCATCGACGGCAAGTACTGGCAGCTGACCTCCTCCAACTTGGACTCCAAGCTGCGTGACGATCTGGAGCGCCTGAAGAAGATCCGCTCCCACCGCGGTCTGCGCCACTACTGGGGCCTCCGTGTCCGTGGCCAGCACACCAAGACCACCGGTCGTCGCGGTCGCACCGTGGGTGTGTCCAAGAAGAAGTAAGCTGCTGCTGCTGTTTTCCCCGGGCGGATTTCCGAATCTACTTTAATTTTCACATCAACCACAAAATAAAAGAAAACACGGAAGCCGGAACGTTTTAGTGCGGAGTATACGTGAAGTTTGTTATATTTCTAATCCATATCAGAATCGTTTCGAATATGTCCAGTGGCCCCTCGCCGCAGAGCAGCATCTGCCTGCTGTGGCTGGTCATTTGCAAGACGGCCCGCTTCCAGCTGGCCAATACGCTGACCAGCATGATTATCATTGTGGGGCCCATCGTTGCCTTCCTCGTCTATGCGGCCACGGCTCTATTCCGGGAGACTCACGAAGATTCGGTGGTGATGTATCCACCCGTCAATATGACAACCGAAGAGCCGTATGTATATGTGACTGCCTTAATAATCCAGGCCACCCTGACCCACCCAAAGACCCAGGTACATTTTCTACTCACCTGAGAATCTAATTGTGGCTGGTGTCATCGAGGATGTGGTCCAGGGATTGAAGGCCAGAGGCAGCGAGGCTTTTCCCAGCGGGGTTCAACTAAATGGTGCTCTGACGGGAATGGATAAATATGGCTGCGTGGGCATTGAGTTTGACGACACCTTCAGCCACATTAGCGTAATTCCTCGGAAAGTATCGGTAGCCATTCGCCTGCCACTTCACCTGCGGGAGAATCCCAAGCTGACGTGGGACGACGAGTCAATCTACAAGCACTCGGACCTGGACATTGACTACTATGAGGAGGAGGGGTTCCTATCTATACAGGCTGAACTGAGCAAGGCGTTGATCAGGGCCAAAAACGAGAGTGCCATCCTGCCGGAAGTAATTCTGCAGCACTATCCAGATCCCAGGCAAGTGGAGGGCACGTTTATGGATAGTAGAACGTCCTTGACAGGGGTTCTCCTCCTGCCCTTCACCATCTCCGCCGCATACATTGCCCAAGTATTCTTTCCAACTCGAATAGGGTTTTTATGGTAGCTGATTAGTATTTTTCAGATGATTGTAATGGAAAGGCGGGAGCATCTGAGGGCCATGTTGCAGCTTCTGGGCGTCAGGGCATGGATATACTGGCTCTCCTGGTTTCTGGTGGCCTTTCTCCTCTTGTCCATTCCCACCGTCTTTATGATTCTCCTGCTAAAGTGGCGCTACTATCCCCTGAGCGACTGGTCCCTGATGCTCTTCTTTCTTCTGGTCTACAACTTTGAGGTCTTGTGCTCGGCCTTTATGATCTCATCCTTTTTCACGGACACTGTCGGTGTCCAGGTGGCCATCCTGGTCATGCATCTGTTCAGCTGCCTGCCCTGGCGCCTCTTGGTTATGGGCTATACGCCCACTTTGCCTCGGGCTATATTGGTCTGCCTCTTCCTAAATAGCCAGTTGGCCATGGGACTGCAAGAGTTCATCAAAAGCGAGAACCTCAACATAGGAATGCATTGGAATGCGCTCTTCAAAGCGACCGATTGGAGGGAAGAATTCATAAACCTGGGCCCCATCCTGGTGTTCATGTTGCTTGGCTGCTTCGGTCGCCTATTGATCCTGGTCTACATGGAGCAGCTGAGGAGTTACCAGACTAGGAAGTGGTATTTCCCAGTACAGCCCTCCTTCTGGTGCCCGCGAAAGGGTCGGCAGTCGTCCATCCTTGATCTCGAAGGTCAGAAGGAGGATCGGAGGCGGTCTAGAAACCTTCCGGTGATTGTGCGCGCCAGGAACCTGGAAAAGGTCTACAACGAACGCCTTGCGGTTAGCAACGTCAGCCTGAACTTTTACCAGGACGAGATCACAGTGTTCCTGGGCCACAATGATTCCGGAAAGACGACCATCTTTATGCTGCTCGCCGGTTTCGTGAGGCCCACCGCCGGTGAGGTCACCATTAATGGGTATGATTTGGTTACTAAGCAAAGGAAGGCGCGTCAGTCGATGTGCATCTGCCCGCAGCACAATGTGCTCTTCGAGAAGGTCAAGGCCAGGTGGCACCTCAAGTTCTACTGCCGGCTGAAGGGAATGAACAGTAAAGAGGCCTCTGCCGAGGCGGACAAGTACCTGGAGATTGGCCACCTGCAGGAGTATGCCGACACGAAGGTGAAGGATCTACCCAGTGGCCTGAAGCGGATGCTCATGCTGTGCTGCAACCTGTGCGGCAACTCGAAGGTGCGATCCCTGGTCTCCCTAAGCTTCCGATCGCAGTAACCTCCCTGAATTCCAGATTCTCCTCTTGGACGAGCCCGGCACCAGCCTGGATCCTCTGCTGCGGAGCGACATGTGGCACCTGCTGCGCCGGGAACGCAAGGGTCGCTGCATCATCATGGCCACGCACAATATGCTCGAGGCCGAGGTGGTTGCCGACCAGATAGCCGTCCTCTGCGATGGCCAGGTGATCGGTTACGGCACCACCGGCTTCCTCACCCAGTTGGCCGACACGGGCTCATCCTACCTCCTGATCTGCACCAAGCTGGACGGCTGCTGGGTGGCAGAGGTTACGCACTTTCTGCAAAAACGCATGCCGGACATCAGGCTGCATGACGAGTACGGAATCTACGTGTCTTACGATCTACCAACCAAATATGTAGAGAAATATGCGGTTTTGTTTCTGGAGCTGGAGGATGCACTGGAGGATCTGATGCTGCAGGAGTTCAGTGTGAGTGCCCCCACCCTGGGCAGTGTCTTTCTGCGGATCGGAGAAGAAGTGAGGGAGAGCTGGAACCGGATCAGCTCGGTTAACATGGCAAGCCCCTCGCCCCTGTCATCTCTGCTCAGTAAGTTTTAGGTCCTCTGAAGGGCGTGCTTTGTAAAGGTGATAAATGGAACCTATAACTCCTATCTGCTAGGGTTGATAGCTTATTTTCTCCTTTTAGTAGAAGCTGAAAACCAAAACCAAAACCAAAGTATACACCCAAAAAAATCGATATGAAACTAAGATCGATTTTACATTATTTAAGATCAATTTTACTTTGAAATGTGGCCACGTAAAATTTGGATGAAAAGAGTAGTTCATGTAAATACGACCTGAAATTGACCTGAAATGTACATGTCCATATCGATTTTACGGGAACATGCTTTCTTTTGTGTGAGGGCCCTAGGTCTTAAACATAAATGTATAATATAGGGCGGAAACGTATCCTTCACTGCGTTGCAAACTTCTGACTGAAATCATAATAACCTTTGCTGGGGTATAAAAAATCGATATGAAGCGTAGATCGATTTTACATTATTTAAGATCAATTTTAATTCGATATGTGGCCAGGTAAATTTGACTTGGTCGAAAAAAGTAGTTCATGTAAATACGACCTGAAATTGACCTGAAATTTACATGTCCATATCGATTTTACGGAAACATGCTTTCTTTTGTTTGAATAATATGTGTGTATTATATAGGGTCGGAAACGTCTCCTTCACTGCGTTGCAAACTTCTGACTGAAATCATAATAGAAAATCGATATGAACCGTTAATCGATTTTAAATTTTTTAAGATCAATTTTAATTTGATATGTGGCCAGGTAAATTTGGCTTGGTCGAAAAAAATAGTTCATGTAAAAACGATATGGGTTTAGCAAGACCTGAAATTTACATGGCCATATCGATTTTACTTTACTTTAGGTTTTAGTCCATAGATGTATATTATCACCTAACGTCGGAAATGCCATTCTAAACACCCGATTTCTACCGATCCTTTCTTATGTAGACACCTATTTCTGCCCTTCAATCCCCAGATCTTCTACCGACCTTCGATTTCCGGGAGGACGATGGTAACAAGAAGTGCTGCAACCAGTGGAGGGCCATCATGGAGAGAAAGCGAATCTTCGCGTGGCGCCACAGAAGGTTGTACATTCTGCTCGTCACGATGCCAATTATCATTTGCGCCCTGGTCTACGGAATTGCCTTCCTTATCTTCATGATCGAACGAAACCCTTGCGAGCTACTGGTCACGGATCTGAGGCTCTACACTAGGCCGGTGTTTGTGATCGAATCTCCCGGGGATGAGGATAGCCTTGCCCAGCGCTACAGGCAGAATGTCTTGAGTCGGGGAGCATCGGTTCGCAGCACAGGAGGAACTCCCCTTCCCGAGTATCTCCTAAAGGAGATGAAGTCGGATCAGTTGAGGGTGCAGCACTCGTTTTTAGCCGGCGTTACCTTCAACCAGAGTGCCAGTTCCATTGTCGCCTGGTCGAACAACAAACTGGAGCACGGTTCCGCGCTTTCCTTGGGCATGGTGTACGCTGCCTTGGGCGAGGAGCTGGCTGACCTGGATATCCGGATTGTGAACAAACCGTATGAGGATTCGATTAAGCAGGCCATGTCCACGCTGGCCGAGTACTGCTACATAGAATTCGCCGTGCTCCTGTTTCATTACCTTGTGATGGCGACCATCGTTTTTGCCGCCTTGCCGATCATCGAGCGCCAGACGAACGTGCAGCACCAGCAATTTAGCAGCGGGATGAGCCGGACCACCTACTGGCTGTCGCACCTCTTCTGGGACTATTGCCTGTTCATCGTCATGGTCGTTGTTCTGATCGCGGCCAGCGGAATCACGGTGGGATCAGCACAAGCCGTAACACTCCTACTGCTCGCCTTCGGGTTCTCCGTCATTTCGTTCACCTACCTGATGTGCCTGATGTCCAATGATTTTGGCAAGATGTTTAGCATTATACTGTACATTAACATGATAGGTAACCCATATGAACTGCATTCTTATAGGATTCTATAGCGAACTTCATTTTCAGGCGTTCTGGCATTGTTCATCCATCCCAAGAGCAACGAAACGCGCTATGCTTTTCTTGAGACTGTGCTCTTATTTCATCCACACTATTCCTTTTTTTGTGGCATGTACGATATCACCTTGGGCACATCCACCTACAGCTGGAAAGAACTTAAATATCTGATCGTCAGCGGAATGGTCTATCTGATCCTGGTTCTCTTGTCGTGGCTTCCCCGCAGGATAAACTATACCTTCAAGTTATGCTGATCCTATGATCCTATCCTTTCTACCCCTCTGCTCACTGATTACAAATTTATTTACAGATCCATTAGGAACGAAAAAATAGAACCAAGCCACAGAATTGAGGATCAAGAAGTGAAAGAAGTTCGGAAGAGATTAGCCTACTTGACCACCAGACATTATAGTCATTTCCCTCTCATCCTGAAGGACGTATCAAAACGGTACGGCAGTTTAGTGGCAGTTCGATCACTAACACTGGACCTCAATCCGTAAGTGAAAAAAAATTTTCCTTAATTTAAGTTCATTGACTTTGATTTAAGGAATAATGGCTTTAAAACAGGGACCGAAAATAACTGTTATTGTAATTTTTTCTTAGAAGAGTCCCAAAATTTTTTTAAATACACCATTATTTTTGTTAGCCAATGTAGTTTACAAATCCGTAACGATTTTATTTATTTGATTTTAATAATAAAACTTAAAAAATAACTGTTTTATGTATAACAATTATTATTCCCTTGACATTTAAAAAAAATTAAATAATTTAAAAAACATGCTAACCGAGTTTTATATAACTTACTAAAAATCTTTAAGAAAAAGCCAACAGTGCATAGAATAACTGTTATTTGTAAACTTTTATTATAAAACTCAAAACTTTACGAATCCGAAAATAACTGTTAAAATGTGATTTTTAACATAAAACTCATAACAGTTACGGTCCCTGCTTTAAAATGGCTTACAAGTATACGTGGTCTTACACATTTTCATCCCATATACCTTTTAAGTCTAAACGAACTAAAAATGGACTTAAAACGTATATGGGATGAAAACTTTTAAGTCCATGTATAGGTTTATTTAGCCACTTTTAGTCCATCGTTTCCTAATTTAAAATCCGTGTAAAATCTTTTCCCATCGTTCTAGCTTTGAGTGCGTTGGTTTGCTGGGAAGGAATGGGGCGGGCAAGTCCAGCACCTTCTACATGATCGTGGGCATGCAGTCGATCACGGTGGGCAACATTCACATCAAGGGCTTCAGCTTGAAGAAGCGCCGAAGGGACGCACTGCGTCACGTGGGCTTTTGTCCGCGGGAAGAGATGCTTTCGTCGTACATGACGGGCAGGGAAACGCTGCACTTCTGTTGCCTGGTCAACGGCATCCGGCGGGATCATGTCAACAAGTTGGTGGAGTCACTGGCCGAGTGCTTTGGACTCGCCCATCACATGGACAAGCGTATCGGCACCTACAGCAACGGCACCAAGCGGAAGCTAATGATTGCCATGGCCACCCTGGCGCCCACGCTGATGTGCCTCGATGAACCCACCGCCGGCGTGGACATGCACGCCAAGTACGAGATCTGGAAGATTCTGGAGAGCATCCGGCAGGGCGGTCGCGCCATCCTCCTAACCACGCACAGCATGGAGGAGTGCGAGTTCCTGTGCACCAATGTGGGCATCATGGACCACGGCTCGCTGCTCTGCTACGGATCCTTGCCGCGCCTGAAGTACCGCTTCAACAAGGGCATCTTCGTCAAAGTGAAGATGGGCACCCGAGAGGAAATGGACGATGCGGCGGAGGTTTACGGCCGGATCACCATGATGCAGGAGGCCAGTGACAGTGAAGTGGGAAGCACGACGGGTTCACGTCGCATGTCGTTGGCCCACTTGGTCAGACATCATAAGCCCACAATGGACGCGGTCAGGAAGTCGGAACGCAGCCGATCAAAAGCAAGTGCCGGCAGTTTCCAATCGGACAATCAGGATAGCTACGACCTTTTGTTGCAACGATTAGAGGAAGTCTTTAAAAAGGACCATCCCTATTGCAGCGTCAGGTATGCTAGACCTTTTTCGATTATATATTCGTGTGAAGGTGCAACAAAAACTTTATTAATCCTATATCAGAAGCATACGTAGTTCGTTTAATTTGTTTTATCGTATGACTGTTATTGGAGCGAATGAATGGTTTGCCCTAGATAATAAGTTGATATACCCAGTTATAAAAAGCTTTCATATGTTATAAATACAATACAAAGTTGGCTTCGATAACTTAATAATAAGATTTATTTGCAAGTGTATTAATGTGTATATACTATACTAGACATAGAAACCAAAAAAAGATTTTAACTGGCATTCGTGTCGTATGAGTAATGCTTATGGAGACCTAGCTTTTTTTTAGAAAATATTCTATTCTAATTCAACATTTTTTGCATGGTCTACATATAAGTGTACAAGTTTTTAATACAAGCTTCTTACTCCTCAAAAATGTAGAATTACTTTTCTTGTATGTACATATTAATTAATAACTATGCGAACATATGTAAAGAGATAAATAATAATCTGCAAGTATTTTCACTATATCTCATTTATTTCCACACAAAGCAAATAATCTTGAATGGAACTCAAAGAAAGCTATGTATCATAGTTCAACTTATGTTTTGTATCCTTACCTAGTATCATTTAAAAGTTAATCCATACGACCCACAATAATTGTCGGTTATATTCTAATTCGACCAAACTAATTTATATATGCATTTGTAATATTCACATTATTTCCTCAGCGAGAAGTACACCTACAGAGGAATGATTACCTTTTGCATCCCAAATGAGCAGGTAAAGTTATCCGCGATTTTCCTCTACATGGAGAACTTAAAAAGCGATATGCAGATATTGTACTACTCGGTCAGTCACACGACTTTCGAAGATGTGTTCATGGAGTTTGTCAGAAAGCATAATGAATAGAATAGTAAATCCCTTAATGAATCATACATATGTTTATCAACCTGCTGAGTGGCGGAACCCTTATCGTATCAGTACTGGATTTGAATGGCAATCTGTGAAAGCTTCTGCCACCAAATGCTAACAAATCGGTAAATTCATAGGTTTGGCGTTGCGAAAAAAGAGTAAATAAATCAAGCGATTTTGCTGAATCATAAACTGACATTATCGACAAAGTGATACTCTTATTGTTAAAATTGTATATATTTTGTAACCTTGCGTAAACAATAGTATGTATTGAAGTTCTATTACGTAAATATCCAACAAAAAAATATTTATAATAAAATATCAGCTAAATAAGAGTAAACCGAATTCGGTTAAAGTCCAACTATTATTTCTGTCGCTTTGGTTTCTTCTTTCGCCAGAACATTAGCCAAAAATGTGTGTCATGCGAGACTATTAGTACTTTGAACTCTCGATCGAGAAACTTTCCACAAACAAGACAGACGTGGACAAGCTCTATTAACGATGTTTCGATATATTTCAATTGTCTGTTGTTTATAGGCAAACCCATTCACATGGTGGCCCATGCCTCTTCCAATTTTAAGCAATTGGCTGCCTCCGACCCTCAATTAGACTTTGTTCCCGCATGGCGCAATAGTCAATTGGCGAAGGTAAGCGCTGAAAAGTTATGGCATTCGTTCGGAAATAGATTCCTCATTGAGTACGCAATGTTGGGAGAGCCTCGCGTAACCTTGGTAGCTGATAGCGCACAAATTTGCTTATCGTAGGAAGTTCTCAGCTCATCGTGATTTCTGGAAAATATATGAGCCACCAAGTAATTATAAAAATCCAAGCCACAGCTTCACGTTAAGCTTCATGCTCCATAACAAAAAGTCTGCCTTTCCAATCACAATTTGTAGAACAGTTTAATTTAATGGTCAGCAGTTTTGCTTTCAGAAATACATTTTACTTTCACTGCTTAGAGTTATAGTTTAAAAGTTGATTGCGACACGACATGCACATATTTATATATATTTGTTCTATAGTATATTTGTGTACATCTAGAGGTATATAAGTAAACACAATTCACAATGTGGCGCAGTGTAAAGCCTAAAGAACATTTTAGTAACTATTTATAGGGGTGCTCACTGTAGTGTATATATAAAACCCTGACCTCGAGCTGTATTTTCTAAATGAAAGATGAAACTATGTTTGTAAATATCAAATAACTGAGTAAACACATTTTATAAAATTAAGTAGGTATGAATATAAATATCCCAATAAAATTAAGTATACAACTAAATCAATAATTTATGTGAGGCATTGTGGCTGTCAATGCGTAACATGGGAAAGTAGTCGGCCAACACGATTTTGGGCTTCAAATTAGTTATTGTCGCTTGTAAATGTCTATTGAGGTAGAATTCTCCCCTTTAAATAGTATTGTAAAAAACATTTGACTATTCCTACGAGGCCTCTGAACGATCTGCTTGTGAACATTTGCAACTCGGTTAATAACTACTAATTATCGTTGTCTATATGTATATGGAAGACTCTGTTTTGGTCGCTCTGTATGCAAGCTTTGTTCACACAGGTATACAAAAAGGTCACATAGTTATGCACTTTTAGGTACGACATCCGTAACAAGACTAAGCAAATACCGCGATTGTATAGCCGACGCCTCCTGGAAATTCTTTGCTTTTCATAAATATATTACTCTAATTCTAAGCCGGCCGGAACTATTGCTGAGTTAGTTTGGTGAGAGTTTCGTCCTGAGCCGTTTGGTTTTGTTTTTCAGCTTGGCGTCGCCAGCGACGAGACAGTATGGGTGCGAATAGGTCGTAGTCCAGTTCTCTCTGATACTTGTCCATGTAAATTTCTGCGTTTTCTGCCCATCCAAAGTGCGCCAGCACAATACTGCTGCCGTAGCCGACGACCACGGCGATAAGAAAGCCGATCACACTTAACCACAAGTAGGAAATTCGATATAACCAGAAGTAGTGCGGTTCGATGACCACCGGACTGCTATTTGCGCCGAGTTCGATGGCATGTGCTAGCAAAGCAGTGGCATTCTCACAGCCGGACGTGCTGAACTCCATGGTAATGGGCCTCGGCTTGGGTCCGCCAAAGCCCATCCAGAATGAAATTATTAGAGAGACGAGAAATCCGAGCAGAACGCCTCGTTGATTGGTGCGCGTTGTACAAACTCCCAGCGTAAAGATGGCCAGCAGCGGTCCGCCCACAACTCCGAAAATTGTGAGCGAGGCTTGAAGAACGCCGCCCATGGAGCCAGCCACAAACGCCAATCCGATGCAGAGCAGGCCAAAAATACAGGCCACAATCTTGGTGGGCAACGTGGACTTGGAGTCGATTAGTGTCCGCTTAAATATCGCCTTGTACAGGGGCTTCAGGTAATCCTCTAGCGTTACGGCGGAGAGAGAGGTTACAGCCGACGAAATGGTGGAGAGACTGGCGGAGAATATTCCCGACACAAAGAGGCCGCACAATCCAGGATATTGACCTGAAAGTAACTCAAGTAAGAATAAACTCTTCCGGATATTTTCCCAAACTTACCCATGGTGTCCAGTGCGAAGAGTGGCATGACCTGATCACGCTTTTCAATCCGTCCCTCGAGCACCGGATCACAGTCGCGATAGTAGTAGAATATGGCCAGGCCACTAAAGATGGTGCTAAAGCTGAGCATTCCCAGGATGGGCAGGTTCCACCACAGCGCCGACTGAGCACTCTTCAAATTCCGGACACTCAACAGCCGCTGAACTTGCGTTTGATTGACTCCATACAGCGAGAGGTAGGTGACCATGCCGCCAATGATGAGTGACCACCAGGTGTGCCGCACGGTGGGGTCCAGGGAGAACTCATCGATCTGGATGCGTCCCCGCTCCACGGCCACCTCCCAGATGGCAGCGAATCCGCCCGCCTTAATGGCCGACACAGCGATCACCGAGAAGATGGCGGCAAACATGAGGAAGGACTGAAACACGTCCGTGATGAGCACCGCCTTTAGGCCGCCCAGGGTGGAGTAGAAGGTGCACACCAGGCCAATGACCACGATGGCCCACGTCCGCGGAATGTTGGTCACCGCCTCCAAGGCGAGAGCCGGAGCATAGAGGGCGATGCCCATGTAGAGCACCATTTGGACGGTGAATGCCAGGGAGGCAGACAGCCGGGTGGCCTGGCCGAATCGGCGCTCCAAATACTCGTACACACTCGTCGTTCGCATCCTGTAGAAAACGGGCAGGAAAATGTTGGCGGCAATCGGGGTGCTCAGCAAGTAGGCAATGTTGATCACACAGAACATGGTTCCGAACTCGTAGGACTCGTTGGAGACGCCCATCAGGGAGATGGCCGACATGAAGCTGGCCATCAGGCTGAAGGAGACCGGGAAAGTGGTCATGCTCTGGTCCGCCATCAGGTACTCCTGCGTCGTCTTCTGCTGGCCGCCCGCAAAGCGGTAGTAGATGCCGATCAGGGCCGAAATGACCAGGATGCTGACCAGGACACCCGTGTCCCAGGCGTCGAATGTTCCCACGGGCATGTTGCTGCTTTGGGCTATCCTCCTCCGCTTATCACAGAACCGAACTGCAGGTCGACGTCCGTCAGTGGCCTGAATTGATTTTTCCACAAACGTCACTGCCAATTGATTGGAGCTCCCGCGTCGCAATGACCTTTCCCGCAGTCAACGCTTTCCAAAGTGCGTCCAAGAGCACGGGCAACGGGCAAAAACAACTCGCGTGCTTGTAATTCCGGGAGCAAAAAAAAAGAAACGTTCTCCCGAAAGCTTCGACCGTTAAATAAGCGATCAGCTGGGCGGTTAGTATGACCCTTTCTGGAGGGCCAAAATTATTTGCGTATTCCCTTAAAGCGAACTACTTTGAATTATAAGAGGTATTCCCCTTACACAAAAATTAAATGCAGATATTCAACAAATGTCCATAATTTCCTAAATTCTTTTTATAGAAAGATTTTACTGGCTTACTTTAAATATAAAACATAAAACATGAATTATATATTTTTTCTTCAACAACATACAATTAGTAAATTTAGTTACATAATACATTTAATTTGACTAGTTTTGTCAAATCGATTTCAAAAATGAAATCAATTTATTAAATGTGAAAAGAACAACGAAAGCCCCCTAATAAACCCGAACGATGTGGCAACGTCATTGTGCAATGGTCACTTTATTTTTTCCCGCCATTGTTTTGGTCAACTTGTTTTTGTTTACATCAAAAATGGAATCCATGGAGGTGGATGAAAATGCTCCCCAGCAGTAAGTTCCTCTAAATAATCTTGTTATACACCAATAACCTCCAACCAACCCGTAGCTACATTCGCACACCGGAGGATGTGAAGGCCATTGTGAAGCACGCCAAACTGGACGAGCGCCAGCTGACCCAACTCACCCAGGCGCTGTATTTCCCCTCGGCACACGTGGACTCCGATAATCTGCGCCTCCTGGAGCTGGACGGGCACATGCTGGAGCAGATCCGCGACGGCCAGACGCTCCACTTCAAGGGCGGCCAGAACGAGAAGGTGGTGCTCTGCACCGACGAGCGAACCTACGACGTGAAGGGCGCCGAGATCTCCAACAGCCTGCTGTTGGTTCCGGACCTCAAGTTCGCCGCCGCCACCAGTACCTCTCCGCTGAAGAGTCCGCGGACGGGCAACGCAAACGCCTCCTTAGAGCGGAGTCTGAACGACAGCACGGAGGATGAACTGGAGGTGCCGCGCACCCTGGAGCAGCGACCGGTGCTCAAGGTGTTCCACGAGTACTTCGAGTGTCGCGAGATCAAGCCGCGCTTTCGCAAGCTGGGCGAACTACTGCAACTAACTCGGTATTCGGGGCCGGAGAACGAGTTCTGCGTCGAGCAGAAGCTGCTCTTCACCCTCTCCCAGCTCCTGGACACGGTGCAGTGCAGCCGGGCGCAGTTTATGGAGGGATTGAACCACTACCGGGCCATGGAACTGGACGGCCGAATGCGCGTCATGGAGTACGAGTACGAGTACCGCATTATCAGCATGATGCTGGGAGTGATTAGCGAAAACTCTTGGTCACTGGACGAAGTGGAGAGGGAGGAAACCATCAACGCACTCAAGGGCATTGCTCCCGAGGAAGTTGTGGCTGGGCTATTTGATATTTATACCACTCCTAGCGAACGTTGTCCGGGAAAGTTTGAGTACCAAGAATCTCTGGTCTCCCGGATCGTGGCACAAAACATTCTACAGCCCGGCTTGCGATTCCGCAACGAGGAGTTTATGCGCACCTGGCAGGAGGCGCTACCAGAGGGCATGTCCTGCCAACTGAAGTACCTTCGAGGCCTGGGCATCTGCGACAAGGAGGGAGCTCAGCCATGCATCCGCTCGCTGGCCGAGGAGCAACTGCCCACCAACATCAACGATCGCATGAAGGCCTTGTTTAAGACTAAGCAAAGGTGGACAATGGATGAAATGGAGCCGTACATTGAGTGAGTAATGATTGAAACTTTTCTTGAAGGTTTTATTGATTCGGCTTATTATTTCTAGATGTTTTACCACCCCCACTTTGTCCGTATCCACACTTCTGGCCAAGCACGCTCGCTCGTTAACAGATGGAGGTGTGCGGTACTTTGTTTCGAAGCATTAATGCAAAGTTTTAACTTTTTAGCTTTTATTCAATAAAAATAGTTGTAAGCTTGTCCTAGGCATTCCTTTTGCGTTTGTTACGATCCTTTTTGGCCTGCTTCTGGTCTTCAATGGCCGCCTTCATGGTCTCCACGGCACTTTGGGTGTGACTTGTGGCCAGCTGCGTTGCCTCGCTGTTGGGATACTTAAAGCTGAATCCTCTGGGGAAGATGGGCTGGGTCAGAAGAGCCTGAAGCTGGGCCCTGACTGTCTCAACTCGCAGGCGGTTTCGTCGGCGCTCTATCACAAAGGGATCTTCATCCTGGTCACTGCCACTGCATTAAACATTAATAATTGACTTCACCGTAACATGGTCTTGCTTAAAGAACTTACGATTCGTCGTTGTAGCCATCGATAATCATGTCCATCTCCTCAGCATGCTTCTTCATCCAGCCGCGTTCGCTCTGGACGCGCTTGAGCTTCAGTTCCTCTTTGTCTAGATCCCTCGCAAGATTAACCCGCTCCCTGACAGCGCCCATGAAGCGCTCAGAGATGGGAAACAGTGGCAAATCCTCAGCTGAAATGGTTAGCTTAATATTTAATTGCTCCGCTTTTAAAACAATTATCACTTACTTCTCTCTAACGTTTTGTACAGCTTCACATAGCTCTTGACCTCGCCAGGTTCCATAAACATGACGGTTATGCCATGCTTATTGGCTCGGGCTGTGCGTCCCGATCTGTGGACGTAGTTCTCGCTGGTGCGCGGCACTTGGTAGTGGATCACGTGCTCCACATTCGGTATGTCCAGGCCGCGGGCAGCCACATCAGTGGCTATCAGCAGACCCATGGGACTGTCGCGGAAGCGTTCCAGATTCTTCAGGCGCTGCTTCTGGATCATGTTGGCATGCAGAGGTAGAGGATTGCAGTCCAGTAGCCCAAAGAGCGTGGCCAGTCGCTTGACACAGTCGATGGAATTGCAGAAGACAATGGTGCGACCAGGATGACGCTGAATAAAGTAGTAGAGATGGAAGTCCTTATGATCGATGGGGCACAGTAGGCGACTCTCAGTCAATGTTTGAGCGGTTTCTGAAGTAAAAAATTGTAAGTTTGATATTTGTCCTGAATTTCCTTTGGATTACTTACGCTGAGAGCTGGTTATGTCTACAATCTTGGGTTGGGAGATGCCCAACTCTTCGATAAGCCTTTCAATTTTCTGATCCACTGTTTGCTTCACAAACTTGGGTCGCTTGCCCACATTGCGCTCTAAAATAAATGAAAATAACAGAAGAGTTTAAAGGGTTAAGTGATTTCCAAGCAACCTACTTTGCATGTGATCGGGAAGATCATGAACCAACGTCAGCGTGGCCGAGTAAACAAAGTTCTGGCGCTGATGCTTCTTCTGCTCATCTGAGTTGAGAACCTTGAGCAGACTGCGGAGCTCCTCGAAGTGTCCCTTCTCCACCATGCGATCCGTTTCGTCGATAACCAGGAAGCTGACATCCTCGATCTTGCCCAGATGTTGGTTGCCCTGGGCGTACAGCTCCCAGAGGCGACCGGGTGTGGCCACCACAATATCCGGACACTGCCGAAGTACTCGCTCCTGTTTCGCTACGGCTAGCCCTCCGAAAATGGCAGCCACTCGAATGCCCGTGTATTTGGCAGCCGTCACCAGATGATTCTTGACCTGCACCGCCAACTCGCGGGTGGGTGTGAGCACCAGGCCGTACAAGGGGGTTTGCTTGCGCTTGGCATGCTCCTCCGCATCGCTCTCCTCTTCACTGGCTCCGGACACATGATCCAGTTCCTCCGGCGGAGGCGTCAACTCGTGCTCATCGGCCGCTGGCTCGGGCTTCTGTCCCTTCACCTTTGGCGCCTTCCGAATTCCAGAAAGGATATTTCTTTGCTTCAGCTCCATGATTCCGGCCAGCATGGGTATGCCAAAGGCCAGGGTCTTTCCGCTGCCCGTTTCCGCTGCTCCGAGGATATCCTTCTTGCCGTGGATGGCAGCCGGAAGGGTCAAGGCCTGGATTTGGGTGGGTGCCGAAAAGCCCTGTTCGCCCAGGGCACGCAGAATGGGAGCGGGAACTCCCAGTCCGTTCCAGGCGCTGACATCCGCCTGCGCTTCGCCTGTGGGGATTGGCACTAGATCTGGGGCTTCTTCATCGCTTGACTCCTCCGCCTGGGCCACTTCATCGTCCGATGGTGGTGGTCGGAGCAGAGCAAAGCGATCTGCGTCGTACTCATCGTTGGAATCCTCGCTTTTGTTCCTTTCCTGGTTGTCCTGTCCCTTTGACTTCTTTTGCTTGCGCAGTTCCTTACGCTTCTCGCGTTTCTCTCGCAGTTTCTGCATTTTCTGCGCATGACGCTCGGCTAGACGCGCTTTTTTACTCAGCCTGGCTGTGGCCGCCACTTCATCCTCGCTTTCCGATTCGCTCTCCGAACTCTCGCTGGAGTCATCTTCGCCGCCCTTGGACACCTTCCTCTTTTTCTTCTTCAGCTTGCGCTCCCTGTCCGGATTCCGGGAGCTAACCCGCTTCGAGGAGGATTTCACCAGCGCTGCATCGTAATCCTTGAGGACCTCCAGACCAATTAATCCCTCGTAGCCGCCGCAATCGTCGGAAATCACGTGGCCCTTGATCTTCACCTTTTGCCAGCTCTCTGCCTTGGAAACTGCAGCCTCCTTGGCCGCGCTCTTTAATAGCTTCGGAGGCTTTGCTGTCTTCTGTTTATTTTGAACCATAATTTAATATTTTAACTAAATAAAAGAAGGGGGGAAACTGCAGTTAAATAAAACCGCGTGTTAATAATGCTTCTTCTTGCCGCTGTTTGTTGACATTCGACAGGGCTGTTATGCACGCAGCGGTTCAGTGTTGGACAACGTCCAGTTTTGGCGGTTACTTGAATTTGAATTGCCTGAGACCATTTATCAAACAAGAGAGAACGCTATAGTCGGGTTGGTGTCCCGACTATCTAATACCCGTAACTTAGCTTAAGGGAGTGCGAACGCTGTACTCGGGTTGGTGTCCCGACTCATAATCGTAACTCAGCTAAAGGGAGTGCGAGGGAGAAAAATATATATTAAGAATTTTGAATGCGTATAATTTTTTAATTAATGGTCCGATTTGAAAAATGTCTTCTACATTTCGATAGGTATAAATCAGCGGTCGGCACACTCATACAATTACATTTTGTTTTATATTTGTGTGAGTAAATTGTACGGGGCGGCTTAACAGTGTGTGTGCGCAGACCGCTGTTCTACAGTATACGTGGAGGCAGCGCTCGAGCAGAACCATTTCCTATGCTCACTTAATAGGACGCTGCCGACCGCTGGTATAAATATACACAACAAAATTCCATTTATACTTCTCGGGAATATTTAAAGATGTGGGCGCAGGACCCATTTTAAAATCGTTAGTGGGCGATTGTGGGCGTTAGAGGGGGCGTGGTGCTCGGCTGAAATAAACTTGCGCTGCGTAGGAAGCCAAAGAATATGTGTGGGAAATCTCAACCTTCTAGCTTTTGTAGTTTCTGAGATCTCAGCGTTCATACAGACGGACAGACGGACATGGCTAGATCGACTTGGCTAGTGACCCTGATCAAGAATATATATACTTTACGGGGTCGGAAACGCTTCCTTCTAGCTGTTACATACTTTTGCACGACTACAATATACCCTTTTACTCTACGAGTAACGGATATAAAAAGAAATACTGGGTGTTGTATTAAATTGTAAATAATTTTGTCTTTTTACATTTACATTTACATTTACATTTACATTTACATTTCCTGATTTGTGATTAAATGTCAAGTACTTTTAATTAGATCTTTTTTAAAAATAGTCGGGGAGGCAAAAAAAAAACCCCTAGGCCGCACAATTCTAACCTACACACAAAAAAAAAACTTGGTAAAATCAACTGTAATAATTGTCAAACAGGCCCCAACCAGCAAAATTGTCAATTCTACTAAGTAAATTGTCATTTCACAACAACAAAATACACACAATTAGCAAAGACACAAACCCAAAGCAAAAACAAAATACACGTAACTATTTTAATAGTTACGTAACTATCTTTGTTGGTCAATTTTACCAAGCAAATTTTTTTGTGTGTAGGAAATTTCTGAGTCCCCTTATATATTTTAGTGAGAATGAAAATTGAAAATAACTTAATGACTCATTAAAAATTCATAAGCTTCGGATTTTTAAAACTCACATGTATTTTGTACACAAAAAAAAATTTTTTTTCCTAATTTTACTATTAAGAAAATGTCATTGTGATCTTCTTTAGAATCTAGGAGTTACATTACAACTAAAACTTTTTATTATGTTTTTTTTTTTAAAGTAAAGTAAAAGTAAATTTACAAATGGTTTTTTTTGTCCGCATTTATTATTGTTACTAAAAAATATAAGAAGTACATATTAAATATATAAGTTGTACATACTGGTAAAATATTTAGCTTTCAGTGGTTGAATCCCGATCAGAACATGCGGGACAAAAAGAGCAGAAATCAAAAGATAAGAAAAAAGTCTGAATTGGTTTTAGAAACGGCTTATCGAGAATACTCTTTCTCTGTTTTGCAAGCCAATCCAGCATTAGTTTTCAAAAATCTCTCGTTCTTAAAGGTTGTAAATTCAGAAAATGCAAAAACCATCTATTTTGTTTTTGTGTGCAGCTATTTTTTTGAACCTGTATTTTCCGACGGAATCCCTTAGAAGCGGCGTGTTTTCTTATTGCAACCATATTTGCAAAAATGATTACGGGCAAAAATGGGATTGCGTTCACAGACTTTCAAAAGATTTGCCGTTTTATGGATGCGAGCAAGAGGAAATAGAACCAAATCCAAATAAAGATATTCAGCAGGAATCGAAAAGCTTATGGGAGCTTATGGATGACAGGAATCATAAGGAATCGGAAATCATAGAAAATGGTGTTCATTCAACAATTGGGTATCCTCGGCAGCTTTTCGATGAAACGCACTCAAACAATGAGAAAAGTGGACTTGGGGCTGGCATAACTGTCTTTCTCTTCATGTTGACTGCCATCGGTTTTTCCTTCTGTCTTTCTCAGAGTGGGAAAAGCCTGTTCTCGAGGTGCTTTCGATCGGATAACGATACAGCGCTTCTGCAGAGTCGAAGTCTTAACCCCTCTTTGGCGGAATCAATACAGCCCCAGCGCCCCGGTTGCCTGCTGGACGTCAGAGAAGGACGACAACTGGAGGAGCCATAGTTTACCCTAGTGGACGATAGGACGATTACTTCCGATCCATAATGATGCCGACGGAAATGCCAACGATTGATGAATCACCACCGCCATATGATTCATGTGTAAGCATTCGGTGAATTCTGTCGGATCCTTGAACACTGTATACGAGAAATACTCTACCTCATTGTTTTTTAAAAAAAGCATCCACCAAGTCTACTAATAGATAGCATAAACATTTGGATTTGCATACACGAAATTCGGTTTTAAGCTTAGAATAATACTTAGGCTTATTAAGAATACAAAAGCGCTTCTTGCCGATCAGCAAGCCAACCAGAATTAGAACAATAAAATGGCTTGAAATACATACGTACCAGGATTTACCAATTACAAATACATTATAAAAAAAATGCTGTTAAAAAATATAAAACTCATGGCGAAAAAACTCGCATTTATAAATATGTATGGGAGATATCCTATCCGTGTGGATAGGAATACATATCATACAAATGTCAGTGAACAGAATCCGAACGCCTACGAGGACATTGTGTGCAAGAGGGACGGAAGAAAAGAGATCGGTTCCGATCCTGTCTTATCATGTCATATGATTCATTTGTAAGCTTTCGGTGAATTCCATCGGCTCCTTGACTATAGTGTACGAGAAATACTCGACCTCATAGTTTAAAAAAAGGGATACCACAAGTCTACATAATACACACAAAAAAAAAACTATGTAAAATCAACTATTTAATAGTGAAAACTGCCCCAACCCATAAAAAATAGAAAATGCCCAAAAAAATAGTAGACCACCTATAAAATAGTAGATGACCTACAAAATAGTATTTAACCCGAAAAAAATTGTGGTTTTTTTTAATTATGTTTTTAACTTTTTTATTTTTAATTTAATTTGTTATATTAATTTATATGGAAGTTATTTATAGACACTTACATTTCACAGATACTTAAACTTACAAATCAGGTTTTTTGCCTCCGCTGGGAATCGAACCGGGGCCGCAACCATCGGAGTCAAGCACTCTAACCACTAGGCCACAGAAGAATGCTTTTTGTAGAGGAAAAGCTATAGACTTGAAATCAACATTTAACAAAAAAAAAAAAAGAAAAATATCATCTGCAAAAGCGGGATTTGAACTCACGACCTAGAGATTATGAGTCGGATACTCTAACCACCCTAAGTCCAGAAAAATAGTTGACATACAATTTATAATCGTATTTTTAATAGTTTTTATAGTTTTTAAAATAGTTGTGCTACGATATTAATTGTGGTGTTACTATTTAATGCCCCAAAAAATAAAACAACAAAATACACGCAAACAAATAAAAAAGTTTTGCTACGATATTAATTGAGACGTTACTATTAACTTGCCAAATGAATAAAACAACAAAATACATTCAAATTTCGTAAATATGTTTTCTACTATTTTAATTGTTAAATACTATTCAATGACCCAAAAAATAAAACAACAAAATACATGAAAAATTCAGAAAATAGTGAAATACTATTTTTCTATGTTAATTTTACATAGTTTTTTTTTGTGTGTGGTATAATTTTTAACTTTCAGTGGTTGAATTCCGATCAGAACATGCGGGAGAAAGAGAGCAGAAATCAAAAGATAAGGAAAAATTTGGTTTAGAAACGGCTTATCGAGAATACTCTTTTACTGTTTTGCAAGCCAATCCAGCATTAGTTTTCAAAAATCTCTCGTTCTTAAAGGTTGTAAATTCAGAAAATGCAAAAGCCATCTACTTTGTTTTTGTGTGCAGCTATTTTTTGGAACCTGTTTTTTCTGACGGAAGCCCTAAGAAGCGGCGTATTTTCTTATTGCAACCATATTTGCAAAAATGATTACGGGCAAAAATGGGATTGCGTTCACAGACTTTCAAAAGATTTGCCGTTTTATGGATGCGAGCAAGAGGAAATAGAACCAAATCCAAATAAAGATATTCAGCAGGAATCGAAAGGCTTATGGGAGCTTATGGATGACAGGAATCATAAGGAATCGGAAATCATAGAAAATGGTGTTTATACAACAATTGGGTATCCTCGGCAGCTTTTCGATGAAACGCATTCAAACAATGAGAAAAGTGGAGATTAATGAGATTAATTGTAAGACCAGTAGCACCTTGCAGAAAAAGTGGATGGCGTTTTCGGGATTGGCGTTTTTGATCCGCCTTTTTGTCCTCTTTTCGTTCAAAACTATTTTGAATTTAGCCAGGAAAAAAATTTAATTTTTAGTAAGAAAAAATACGAATCTTCGACTTTTTACTGTGGCTCGCCAGTTTACATATTACCATCAAAATGTACATCCTGTACGAAGACCCATTTGTGAAACGAAATTGATTAAGATCAAGCGGCACAGCATTCATGCTGAACCGAATTGGAAAGTCCGCAGTCGATTTTCATAGGCTTTTTCGCGCCACCAAAAGTACACTTCGCCGAAAATGCGATTCGAGATGTATTTGTGGGACATGTCTGCTTAATAATTATATTTTACGTTTTATTTCATTAAATTATTGCTGAATTTAAGTTGGCTTTTAGTAAATTGCATTCAAATCAACTTTAGCATGGACATCAACCAAAAATGGTATTTTTGGTTCGTATTAAACCAAAAATGGTATTTTT